AAGAAGCACACACATACACCAATCATAAAGAAGCACACACATACACCAATCATAAAGAAGCACACAGCCACTATGAGGACATACTGTAACATACCCTCTATGTTCTTTAATTAAACAAAAAAAAATTGTAAGATAAATTATGCATTTATAGTGAACTATAATGATGAATTAAAATTTCAGAGATGGAAATAAAACCAGAGAGCCTTCTCACCTCAGGGATCACAACTAACCCAAACGTAAGGCCAAAGAGGACTAAATTCATTCCATACATCCAGCGCAGAAATATGAAGTATGACGCTACAGAAGATCCAAAGTGACCTTAGAAGACAGAGATACCACAAACCAATCAACCATCATCTAATATTAAAATATAGAGCACAAAGGTATCATAATCCAAGAGCTAACCTCCACTGAGCTGTTTAATGGACAATTTGCCAATGAGGAATTCAACAGTGGAGGCAGACAACCCACAAGCCACATCAGATAGAACATAGACCCAGCAAAGCCTCTGGCTGATGCTCTAACACCTTCTCGTTCATGGGTCAGCGTTTCATTTTGAGCAGGAGGTGGTATCTGAATGGCTTGGATTAGCGACGAGCGAAACCTGCTGCTCCTTACTCTCAACTTCTTTTATTTTCCGTTCCCAAGGTATGCACGCTGTCTTGAAATTTTCAAAATCTCTTTGAAACTTGATCCATTTCTGTTACAGAATAAAGAGAAACGGTGTTAATGTTGTCGACCGTGGAAACTGTTGTCTGATGTACAGTCAGATCCTGCTCATCTCACCTTGGTCATCATCACTTTGTAGGCATACAGCTTACGCCCTTTCCCTTTGCCCAGGGCACCTTCAAACTTGTCCACAAACTGCTGCGCATCTCTGAAATCCATTCAGTTATAGAAGTCGTTTAAAATATAAACACCCAAAAGCAATGAAAATTGAAAACGCAGACACAAAAACGTGCCTAATATGGCAGTGCCCTAGGTCAGGCCATGCATCCTACAAAGGCTGCATTCGAAGGTGGAACCAGGAATGCCTCACAGCAACATGACAAGGCCGTCCCATTTGGAAGGCTCCTTCAAATGCAGCCTAGGAATGCATCCTTCTTTTTCCCACTCCAATAAGTATGCACCCGACGGACCCTATCCCAAGATTCATTGTGCAGAGGTGAAGTGGGGGTGTCACAGCTAGGCGATCGGAGGGGCGCTTCATTACACAAGGGTACAGGCAGGAACGGCTGGTGGCACAAATAGGAAATAATCCTTCGGCCAGACTGTCCCATACGACCACGCCTTCAGTTTGACCTTCAAAGAACGCCGCCTACAAAAGTTACACCTCTGTAGACCACAGCTCATATTATCAGCAATGTCTTAATTATTTTTAAACAGAGCTATAATGAGATTCTGTTCAATAGACCATCCCATTTGGGGTTCAGGTCAGGGCTCTGTGTGGGCCAGTCAAGTTCTTCCACACTTAATTTATCCAACCATGTCTATATGGACCTTGCTTTGCGCACTGGGGCCACAACATGATAAGAACCTGCTATTTTGACGTTGTGGGGACCATTTTTCATGTACCCATAAGGATAACCTCAGTTTTATAAAAATCAGTGAATGCAATCAAAAAACTAAAAATGCCAAAAGAATTGTATTTTGTATTTTGTTTGGTTGTTTAAGGTTATGGCTGGGTTGGGGTTAAGGTTGCCATTTTTGGGTTTTGGTTTTTCTTGTAGAAATGAATGGACAGTCCCCACAAAGATAACAGTACAGGTCTGTGTGTGTTTGTGTGTGCACTGTGCATCACTGTATATATACTATTTAAATGTATTACTTGAGATGTTCTAGCCTCCTCTTCATCCGCCATGGCTTGTTCCTGATATTGGCGATGAGCTTTTTCTTCTCCTCAACCTCCTCCATGAGTCGTGCCATCTCGCCCTCTGACATGGACTGGTCTGACTCCGAGTCTGCATTCGAGTCTGAGTCTGATGAGCTAATGACAGACGAGCTCTGATTCATATCATAAGCGGCTTCCTCTTTACCTTTCATCTTAGGAAAGTCAAGTGCTCAGCAACCCAACCAATGCGACACAAAATCAGAGGAAACACAAATAGACACAAACAGCAGTAACAAGGAAAGGGAATTATCACTCAACATGACTGAACACACCACCCCCTCCCCACATATAGAGAAAGTCTGAGTAGTTTGTATTGACAATTTCATCTCTTGTAACATTAGTGCACATGAAGTATTAGCAATTTTATTCTTTCTTATTCCTGCTAATGAATGTAAAAAGACTCAGTGATTCTCTTCTCTCTGCAACACAGGCTCCATATCAGTTTATGGCCGTGAAACTCGAGCTGAGCTGTCAAACGAAGCTTGCAGGTGACTAGACATTGCTCACCTGCTAATATGCTTTGTGTATAACTGTCTGTATTTATCTGCAGTCTGTATGTATGGTATTAACTCAGTGTACTGTACCTGCAGTATGCATGTATGGTATCATCTCAGTGTACTGTACCTGTAATGTATGGTATTATCTCAATGTACTGTACCTGCATTCTCGGTGTACGGTATTACCTCAGTGTAC